GGGCACCCTTTTTAAGCCTAGGATACTGGGCAGCCTAGGTTTGATCTTGAGATGGAAAGCCACGTGGTGGAGATGGCCCCATACCTGATGCCTACGCAGCTGAACGAGGAAGGTGGCAGGGCCCTGGAGCGGAAGATCAGCAACCTTGGCATCCAGGTGCACAGCGGCGCGAAGATCCAGGAAGCCGTCCTGGAGGATGGCAAGGTGACGGGCTTGAAGTTCATCCCTCACGGCCAAACGGAGCCGACGATCTTGGAGGTGGACATGGTGGTGGTCTCCTGCGGAGTCCGCCCCCGCGACGAGCTGGCCCGCGGCTGCGGCCTGGAGGTGGGCCAGAGGGGAGGCGTCAAGGTCGACTCAGCCTTGTGCTCCTCGGATCCTTCCATCTACGCCTTGGGGGAGGTGGCCTCGATCCAGGGCGCCTTCTGCTACGGCTTGTGGGCTCCCGGAGTCGACCAGGCGGAGGCCTTGGTGAAGAACCTCGTGGAGGGACCTGAGAGCGCCAGCTACGAGAAGAGCGACTTGAGCACCAAGCTGAAGCTCCTGGGAGTGGACGTGGCCTCCTTCGGCTCGGACGAGAGCTTCTGGTTCAAGCGCAAGTTCGATGGCAAGGATCCGGAGGTGCTGAACGTGGAGTGCAGCAGCGCCCTGGATGGCTCTTACCGCCGGCTGTGCTTCACCAAGGACGGCCAGAAGCTGGTGGGCGGCGTCCTCGTTGGGGATGCCAAGGACTACCCAAAGCTGCTGCAGCTCTGCAAGAAGGGCGACCTGGGCGGCTCCGACCCCGAGAGCCTGGCCTTCCGCCGACCTCCGCCAGGCCAAGGAGCAGTGGCCAATGACGGCGGAGATGGCACGGGCATTGCGGAGGACGACGTCATCTGCACCTGCTTGAACGTGACCAAGGGCGAGGTGGTCAAAGCCATCAAGGACAAGGATTGCATGACTGTGCCCCAGATCAAGAAGTGCACAAAGGCCGGTACGGGCTGCGGTGGCTGCTGCACTCCAGTCGGCGAGGTTCCGAAGGTGCTCTCAGCGACGCTGAAAGCACTGGGCAAAGAGGTCAAGGCTGGAATCAGCGACTGTTTCCCATACACCCGCCAAGAGCTCTTCAACATCTTCCGCATCAAGGAGATTAAGACCTTTGAGGAAGCCGTTGAGAAGGTGGCCGTGGGTGGCAATGGCAGCGAGGTGGACAAGCCAGTGATCGCTTCAATCCTGGCCAACATTTGGAATGACAACGTGCTGACAGGCAACCGTGATCAAATTCAGGATACCAACGACCGCTTCTTGGCCAACATCCAGAAAACAGGCACCTACTCCGTCATTCCCCGCTGCCCCGGTGGCGACATCACGCCCGACGAGCTGATCGCCATTGGCACCACCGCCAAGAAGTACGGGCTCTGGACGAAGGTCACGGGTGCCCAGCGCCTCGGCATGTACGGAGCCCCGGTGCATGAGCTGCCTTCCATCTTCAAGGACCTGGTGGACGCCGGCTTGGAGTCTGGCCACGCCTACGGCAAGGCGCTGCGCACGGTGAAGAGCTGCGTGGGAAGCACGTGGTGCCGATATGGGCAGCAGGACTCGGTGAGCATGGCCTGCACGCTGGAGAACCGCTACTAGGATGCCCAGTAGTACCCTTATTCCCTTTTTGGGGGGTTTAGGTTCCCTTATAAACCCCTTTATGCAAAAAAGGGCACCCTTTTTAAGCCTAGGTTACTGGGCAGCCTAGGCTACAAGGGCTTGCGTGCACCTCACAAGATCAAGATGGCGGTGTCTGGCTGCCTCAGAGAATGCGCCGAGGCACAGGGCAAGGACGTAGGCTGCATCGCCACCAACAGCGGCTGCTCGGTAGGACCTTGGGATACTTTATAAGCAATTCAAGAGGATCAGATATGAGGGCTTTTGAATATGCCTCAAACCCTAAACCCTAAGCCCTAAACCCTAAACCTAAAACCCTATACCCTATACCCTAAACCCTATAAACCCTAAGCCCTAAACCCTAAGCCCTAAACCCTAAACCCTATACCCTATACCCTAGACCCAGCCGAGGCTACAACCTCTATCTTTGTGGCAACGGTGGAGCCAAGCCTCGGCACGCGCAGCTCCTTGCGTCCTCAATCGATGAGGAGACATGCCTGAAGTACATCGATCCTGGGCAAAGACTTAGGGGGCTTAGGGGGTTTAGGGTTTAGGGTTTAGGGTTCAGGGTTTAGGGTTTAGGGTTCAGGGTTTGGGGAACATTTTTGTGTGCTTCCCCCATTCTTATGGGCACTTGAGAGGATCATATTCAAGAGCCTTTTTTCAGAGGGTTGTTTTGAAGTGTGCTTGTAAAGATAAAGTATACAGCGCCAACCCAGGATCGATTCCTCATGTTCTATTGCAGCACGGCGAAGCACCTTCAACGCACAGCACCATGGCTCGAAGAGCTCCCAGGTGGAATCGACTACTTGAAGAAGGTCATCGTGGACGACTGCCTCGGCATTTGCGGAGATCTGGAGGTGTTGATGCAGCGCAACGTGGAGGCATACAAGTGCGAGTGGAAGGAGGTGGTCTACGACGAGGGCCTGCAGAAGAAGTTCACGCAGTTCGCCAACACCGCGGAGACCCTGGACACCGAGCAGGTGGAGTACGTGAACATGCGGAAGCAGCGCCACCCGGCCACCTACGACCTCCCAGACATCAAGGGCGAGGCTGCTTTCTCCAAGGAGACGGCTCCGGAAAGCTGGGAGTGGTACCCTGCGGGCAAGGTGCAGGACTTCCCGCGCTGCAGCGGTCTCGCAATGAAGCATGGGGATGCCGAGGTCGCCGTCTTCAACCTGTCTCACCGCAAAGATGAGTCGGAGAGGTGGTTCGCAACCCAGAACCTCTGTCCCTTCAAGCAGGTGCGGGTGATCTCGCGCGGTCTAGTGGGAGAGCCAGCTAGCGGTGCGATCACAATCGCTGATCCAGTGTACAAGACGGTCTATGACTTGAGAACTGGACAGGGCATCACCAGTCCGGACCTCAACCTCTCCACGTTCCCGACGCGCGTTGCTGCCGACGGCACGGTGGAGGTGAAGCTGCCGTCACCGGAGGAGTATGCCAAGGCCCTCCAGACGAAGGCCCGCAAGGCGGTTGAGGAGGCCGGGGTGAAGGCCGCGAAGGTCATGGGCAAGTCCAAGCCCTTCGACGCCAACGGCAAGCACATCGCCTTGGATTGGTAAAAGCTGCTGTAAATTTGTAAATTGTGAACTCTGTGAGTGAAGAAACTCAGAGCTTCGCAGGAGCAACACCCCAGGACCCTGATTTTCCAAGTCCTGCAGGCTGGCCTTCAAACTGCCCATCTCAAAGCAGTCTGATCCATAGCTCTCACTGTTCTCACTGTTCTCACCCCCGAACCACATCCAAGTCAGTCTCTACTATGTTTTGTTACAGATGTTACTCATGTTTGAGTTTTTCCGGCGTGCCATCAGAGGCTGATGTTTACAAGCGCAAGCCCGCTAGAGCAAGCAGCGGAAATGTTGGACTGACTTGGGAACCCCCCAAAAAAGATCGTGGAGCGACGACCGCTTTTGTTGCAGCATCCCCAGTGCGGAGCATAGCTGGATGCTTAAGACAGCGCCTGCTTGGCACGTTGCCCGAGGAGGGGGGAGCTCGAGTGGAACTCAGCCCTTCACCTTTTTACGAGCAACTTGCCTCAGGGACCTTCAGGCAAACGCGCCTTAAAAGCTGCAACGCGTCGGTCTTGGAGGTAAGCAACGAGCAGGGCATGCAATCTTACTGCACGCATCTTGGCTTTTCCCACCTTCAGTGCAAGGATGCGTCTCAACAACCTAAACCCTAAACCCTATAAACCCTAAACCCTAAACCCTACACCCTACACCCTAAACCCTAAACCCTAAACCCTAAACCCTAAACCCTAAACCCTAAACCCTAAACCCTAAACCCTAAACCCTAAACCCTAAACCCTAACCCTAAACCCTAGTGTACATAAGGGTTATCTGACATTTGGATCCCCTACTGAGGGCCTCAGAGTTGGGAGCTCGAGGACTCAAAAGCCAAGCTAGTTTAGGGTTTAGGGTTTAGGGTTTAGGGTTTAGGGTTTAGGGTTAGGGTTTAGGGTTTAGGGTTTAGGGTTTAGGGTTTAGGGTTTAGGCTTTTTGGGGCAGACGGTTTTTGGGGGTTTGGGGCCTGTTCCGGTTGGGGTTTAGGGCTTCGGGCTTAGGGCTTAGGGTTTAGGGCTTAGGGATTAGGGCTTAGGGATTAGGGCTTAGGGTTTAGGGTTTGGGTGCTCGACTAGGCGACCTGCGGGACAGAGCCTGTAGCTTGGACGAACTTCCGGCATACAGGTTCGAAACCAGAGCATTCTTAAGCAGACTCAGGGTCTGGGTAGTTAACCATTTTTAAACCTCTTTGAATTAATGACTGATTACAAAAAATCCTAAACTTCAAACCCTAAGCCTTAGGGGCTGGGGGTTGGGTAGTTAACCTTTAACCTCCTTGGTGAGATAAAATCCTATCACAAATGCAAGGTTAACCTGTTTTCTGCCGGGTCTTCAGCACTTAAGCAGGGCTGGCGCTGTAGCCTACGACACCAGATGATAGACCCAGGGTTTAGGGTTTAGGGTTTAGGGTTTAGGGTGTACCTGCTATTCTGCCCGGCCCTGGTTTTTTGGCTGCCTTGAACCCAGATACCTTTGGACGAGTCTGCAAAGGCTCTTGCGTCTAGTCTTTGTACTCGGTGACGGGAGGGAGTGGTTTTGGGACAGCCCCTTTCCTTTTGTCGGCGTCAAGCCAGCTTCTCCATGGAAGGCGTCCGCTGCTATCCCAGCGTGCCTCAGCGGCCTTCTAAGGCCCTAGGGCCCACCGTTGCTCTGCTGTGCGCATCTTCTACTGAGTAGACAGCTGCATGCTCTACCTGCCGCCACTTGCAGCGATTTTGCGCTTCAGAGGGGTGTGAGCATAGTGAGCATAGATCAGACATTCCGTTGCCCCGATAGTTGCCTGCAGCGAAACCTGTCATGGCGGGCAAGCGTGTCGTCGTGATTGGCCACGGCCCCATCGGCCATGCCTTCATTGAGAAGCTTGCAGAGAGGGAGGCCGGCTTCACCATCACCGTGCTTTGTGAGGAGCCTCGTCCAGCATACAATCGCGTCATGCTGACGCAGTACTTCCTGGACCGAGATGGCGACCAGCATGACCAGATGAAGTTGTCCTACTGGAGCGAGGAGGACCTGAAGAGCAAGAGCGTGAAGCTTGTCTACGGCCGCGCAACCAGCATCGACCGCGAGAAGAAGTCGGTGGCATTTTCCAAAGTCTGCCATGGCGGCAGCTCCGCTGACGCAGAGGCAGGTTCCGTGGAGTACGACGTCCTCGTGCTTTGCACCGGCAGCTTCTGCTTTGTTCCTCCAACTCCCGGCTTCATCTTGCCGGAGAAGAAGAACCCACAGTGGCCGGACGACCCTGCCTCCCGCCCGGAGGGCGTCTTCGTGTACAGGACCATCGAGGATCTTGAGGCTCTCATCGCTGCCTCAAAGAAGGCCTCCAAGAAGCGCGCCGCTGTGATCGGAGGCGGTCTCCTGGGCCTGGAGGCCGCGAAGGCCGTGTTTCTAGGATGCCCTTATTGTGCCCTTATTCCCTTTTTGGGGGGGTGTAGGTTCCCTTTAAGCAACCCCTTTAAGCAAAAAAGGGCACCCTTTTTAAGCCTAGGTTACTGGGCAGCCTAGGTTTGATCTTGAGATGGAAAGCCACGTGGTGGAGATGGCCCCATACCTGATGCCTACGCAGCTGAACGAGGAAGGTGGCAGGGCCCTGGAGCGGAAGATCAGCAACCTCGGCATCCAGGTGCACAGCGGCGCGAAGATCCAGGAAGCCGTCCTGGAGGATGGCAAGGTGACGGGCTTGAAGTTCATCCCTCACGGCCAAACGGAGCCGACGATCTTGGACGTGGACATGGTGGTGGTCTCCTGCGGAGTCCGCCCCCGCGACGAGCTGGCCCGCGGCTGCGGCCTGGAGGTGGGCCAGAGGGGAGGCGTCAAGGTCGACTCAGCCTTGTGCTCCTCGGATCCTTCCATCTACGCCTTGGGGGAGGTGGCCTCGATCCAGGGCGCCTTCTGCTACGGCTTGTGGGCTCCCGGAGTCGACCAGGCGGAGGCCTTGGTGAAGAACCTCGTGGAGGGACCTGAGAGCGCCAGCTACGAGAAGAGCGACTTGAGCACCAAGCTGAAGCTCCTGGGAGTGGACGTGGCCTCCTTCGGCTCGGACGAGAGCTTCTGGTTCAAGCGCAAGTTCGATGGCAAGGACCCGGAGGTGCTGAACGTGGAGTGCAGCAGCGCCGTGGATGGCTCTTACCGCCGGCTGTGCTTCACCAAGGACGGCCAGAAGCTGGTTGGCGGCGTCCTCGTTGGGGATGCCAAGGACTACCCAAAGCTGCTGCAGCTCTGCAAGAAGGGCGACCTGGGCGGCTCCGACCCCGAAAGCCTGGCCTTCCGCCGACCTCCGCCAGGCCAAGGAGCAGTGGCCAATGACGGCGGAGATGGCACGGGCATTGCGGAGGACGACGTCATCTGCACCTGCTTGAACGTGACCAAGGGCGAGGTGGTCAAAGCCATCAAGGACAAGGATTGCATGACTGTGCCTCAGATCAAGAAGTGCACAAAGGCCGGTACGGGCTGCGGTGGCTGCTGCACTCCAGTCGGCGAGGTTCCGAAGGTGCTCTCAGCGACGCTGAAAGCACTGGGCAAAGAGGTCAAGGCTGGAATCAGCGACTGTTTCCCATACACCCGCCAAGAGCTCTTCAACATCTTCCGCATCAAGGAGATTAAGACCTTTGAGGAAGCCGTTGAGAAGGTGGCCGTGGGTGGCAATGGCAGCGAGGTGGACAAGCCAGTGATCGCTTCAATCCTGGCCAACATTTGGAATGACAACGTGCTGACAGGCAACCGTGATCAAATTCAGGATACCAACGACCGCTTCTTGGCCAACATCCAGAAAACAGGCACCTACTCCGTCATTCCCCGCTGCCCCGGTGGCGACATCACGCCCGACGAGCTGATCGCCATTGGCACCACCGCCAAGAAGTACGGGCTCTGGACGAAGGTCACGGGTGCCCAGCGCCTCGGCATGTACGGAGCCCCGGTGCATGAGCTGCCCTCCATCTTCAAGGACCTGGTGGACGCCGGCTTGGAGTCTGGCCACGCCTACGGCAAGGCGCTGCGCACGGTGAAGAGCTGCGTGGGAAGCACGTGGTGCCGATATGGGCAGCAGGACTCGGTGAGCATGGCCTGCACTCTGGAGAACCGCTACTAGGATGCCCAGTAGTACCCTTATTCCCTTTTTTGGGGGTTTAGGTTCCCTTATAAACCGCTTTATGCAACAAAGGGCACCCTTTCTAAGCCTAGGTTACTGGGCAGCCTAGGCTACAAGGGCTTGCGTGCACCTCACAAGATCAAGATGGCGGTGTCTGGCTGCCTCAGAGAATGCGCCGAGGCACAGGGCAAGGACGTAGGCTGCATCGCCACCAACAGCGGCTGCTCGGTAGGACCTGGATATTGATGTTGTGATTTTCCCCTTTATAAACAATTCAAGAGCATCAGATATGTACGAACACGTTTCAGAGTGCTTTTAAATATGCCTTAAACCCTAAACCCTAACTCCTAAACTCTAAACCCTAAACCTAAAACCTTATACCCTTTACCGTATACCCTAAACCCTAAACCCTAAACCCTAAACCCTAAACCCTAAACCCTAAACCCTAAACCCTAAACCTAACACCCTACACCCTACACCCTACACCCTACACCCTAAACCCTAAACCCTAAACCCTAAACCCAGAACCCAGAACCCTAAACTCTAAACCCTAAACCCTAAACCCTAAACCCTAAACCCTAAACCCTAAACCCTAAACCCTAAACCCTAAACCCTAAACCGAGGCTACAACCTCTATCTTTGTGGCAACGGGGGAGCCAAGCCTCGGCACGCGCAGCTCCTTGCGTCCTCAATCGATGAGGAGACGTGCCTCAAGTACATCGATCCTGGGCAAAGACTTAGGGGCCTTGGGGGGCTTAGGGGGCTTAGGGGGTTTAGGGGGTTTAGGGTTTAGGGTTTCGGGTTTAGGGTTTAGGGTTTAGGGGTTCAGGGTTTGGGGAACATTTTTGTGTGCTTCCCCCATCATTCTTATGGGTACTTGGGAGGATCATATTCAAGAGCCTTTTTCAGAGGGTTTTTAGAAGTGTGCTTGTAACAAAGTATAGAGTATACAGCGCCAACCCAGGATCGATTCCTCATGTTCTATTGCAGCACGGCTAAGCACCTTCAACGCACAGCACCATGGCTCGAAGAGCTCCCTGGTGGAATCGACTACTTGAAGAAGGTCATCGTGGACGACTGCCTCGGCATTTGCGGAGATCTGGAGGTGTTGATGCAGCGCAACGTGGAGGCATACAAGTGCGAGTGGAAGGAGGTGGTCTACGACGAGGGCCTGCAGAAGAAGTTCACGCAGTTCGCCAACACCGCGGAGACCCTGGACACCGAGCAGGTGGAGTACGTGAACATGCGGAAGCAGCGCCACCCAGCCACCTACGACCTCCCAGACATCAAGGGCGAGGCTGCTTTCTCCAAGGAGACGGCTCCGGAAAGCTGGGAGTGGTACCCTGCGGGCAAGGTGCAGGACTTCCCGCGCTGCAGCGGTCTCGCAATGAAGCATGGGGATGCCGAGGTCGCCGTCTTCAACCTGTCTCACCGCAAAGATGAATCGGGGAGGTGGTTCGCAACCCAGAACCTCTGTCCCTTCAAGCAGGTGCGGGTGATCTCTCGCGGTCTAGTGGGAGAGCCAGCTAGCGGTGCGATCACAATCGCTGATCCAGTGTACAAGACGGTCTATGACTTGAGAACTGGACAGGGCATCACCAGTCCGGACCTCAACCTCTCCACGTTCCCGACGCGCGTTGCTGCCGACGGCACGGTGGAGGTGAAGCTGCCGTCACCGGAGGAGTATGCCAAGGCCCTCCAGACGAAGGCCCGCAAGGCGGTTGAGGAGGCCGGGGTGAAGGCCGCGAAGTTCGCGAAGGTCATGGGCAAGTCCAAGCCCTTCGACGCCAACGGCAAGCACATCGCCTTGGATTGGTAAAAGCTGCTGTAAATTGTGAACTCTGTGAGTGAAAAAACTCAGAGCTTCGCAGGAGCAACACCCCAGGACCTTGATTTTCCAAGTCCTGCAGGCTCGCCTTCAAACTGCCCATCAAAGCAGTCTGATCCATAGCTCTCACTGTTCTCACCCCCGAACCACATCCAAGTCAGTCTGTATTATGTTTTTGTTACAGTGTTACTGATGGTGGACCCTCATTAGAGTCAGTAGAGGCTGATGTTTACAAGCGCAAGCCGCAAGAGCAAGCAGAAATGTTGGACTGACTTGCGAACCCCTAAAAACGATCGTGGAGCGACGACCGCTTTTGTTGCAGCATCCTCAGTGCGGAGCACAGCCGGATGCTCAAGACAGCGCCTGCGTGGCACGTTGCCCGAGGAGGGGGGGGGAGCTCGAGTGGAACTCAGCCCTTCACCTTTTTACGAGCAACTTGTCTCAGGGACCTTCAGGCAAACGCGCCTTAAAAGCTGCAACGCGTCGGTCTTGGAGGTAAGCAACGAGCAGGGCATGCAATCTTACTGCACGCATCTTGGCTTTTCCCACCTTCAGTGCAAGGATGCGTCTCAAGATGCAGTAGCCGTGACCTCTAGAAGTGAGAATTCGTATAAATTCCTGTCCCGAGCGCCGACGCACGGGGCACGGGCGAGGGTTTTGAAGAGTAAGTTGGCATCTCACAGCCGTGACTTTCACGACCTGCAGGCAGCTGGCGCCACCATCGCCGGGGCCTGAAACCTTAGGGTGCTCGTGCCCAGAAGGGTGTCTTCCAGCAGACACCGGTCCAAATGCCAGCTGACTGAGAGACCTTAAACCCCAAACCCTAAACCCTAAACCCTAAACCCTAAACCCTAAAGCCACAAAGCTTAGGTTTGCATGGTATCCCGCTGTTGCACGGTGGCCCAGCCGGCCAGTGAGCTCTGAGAATGGGTGGGGCAGGGTTAGGGTTTACGGCTTAAAGTTCAGGATTTAGGGTTTGGGTGTTGGCGTGTTTTGCAATGTGGAGGTTGCGTGTCTAGGGCTTAGGGCTTTAAAGCTTGGGCGCTTCGTGTCGAGGGACTGTCTGATTGCGAGCAGACCAACAACAACGCCAAACCTTTCCAAAGCACGAAACCCTAGACCCTAAACCCTGAACCCTAAAACCCTGAAACCCTAAAACCCGAACAGCCTAAGTTCTATAAACTAAACCCCAAACCCGAAACCATAAGCCCTAGACTCCATCAAGCCCCGAGGCAAAATTCGCGGAGCGCCTCCACCTTCGCCGGCCCTTTAGGACCAATCGCGGTTGTCTCCCAGTCGGTTCTGGGTTTAGGGTTTAGGGTTTGGGGCTTGGGGTTTGGGGTTTGGGGGTTTAGGGTTTAGGGTTCCCGCTTAAAGACGTTTTGTGTCCCATGGCTTGGGGCTGGAGCACAAGGCTTGTTTTTTTGGCTTAAGGGGGGAACACCTATAGACCCTGAAATGCCAACGTTCTTTCCCCAAACCCAAAACCCACCAGGAGTTTCCCCCCATCCCAAACCCCATTTTCGGTTTTTGGGCTAAAGTCAGCGAACTCGAGCAATCCCGAAAAATTGCTTGCCTCACTTGCAACATGTGTTGCTTAGCCCGCCCTTAGCAGTTTCGGGCTTCGGACATCTGTGCAACAACGAACCTGCTATAAAAAGGGGACCCATCGTTTTGACTGTGTGAGCTTATTCCGGTGGATCCTCTGCAGCAACCCAGAGGTCCCTAAACTAAACATTGTGTGGTTTTCATCATGACCTTTATCAGTAGAATACGGTTCGGCCCAATAGTTGCATTGAAGACTGCATTGCTACTATGTTCATATGGTCCCGTTCTGTCCCTATACAGCTGCTACTACAGTATGGAGGAAAGGACTTACAGTGGGAGAGCCCGAAACCCTTAAGCCTAAGCACTAAAGCAAGAAAACCTAAACCCGAAAGCCTAAACTCTAAACCCTAAATCCTAAATCCTAAACCCTAATTCGACTGGGAGTAGGAGTCGCCTGGCGTCAGGATTCCTAGCTGCTTGTGATGGGCGGCCTTGGCCGCACAGACCTCGGCTGTCCCATCCGACCGTATGCTGGGTGACCACGGGTTTAGGGTTTAGGGTTTAATTTCGGTTTAGGGTTTATAGGCTTCGTAGCTGAGTCAGCACACTTTACACTTTTTCGATACTAGAATCCCTATAGAACTGAAAATGTACACTTTTTGGGGGCTTATATACTCAGCAACTAAGCAGGGGGTACTTTGACAATCGGCGTGCAGTCCCGTTGCTACGCATAGCCTTGAAGGGTGCACCCTAGGTTTTTGCCAGTGGGAGCTTCCTTGTGAGCGTCGCTGGCGCGGCTCTCTCGGCTCAAATTTGTGTGCAAGGCTAAGTACTGCGGCTGATTGAAGCATTTGCTTGTGGGACTCCTGGCACCGCTTTGGCGCTGCGTCATGATGGTAACAGATGTGGACGAAACGCTGCGTGAGCAGCTTCGGGCCCTGGTGGTCAATCGCGGGCCGCTGGGCGACACCGTCCTGCAAGCGATGGATGGGCAACAAGTCGGGTGCCTGGCCTTGGAAAGGGTTTAGGGTTTAGGGTTTAGGGGATAGGGTTTAGGGTTTAGGGTTTAGGGTTTAGGATTTAGGGCGTAGGGTTTAGGGCGTATGGTTTAGGGTTTAGGGTTTAGGGTTTAGGGTTTAGGCTTTGGTGGTTTGGGGTTTGGGGTTTGGGGTTTAGGCTTTCCAAAGAGCAAACTAGGACCCCTTCTGAAAAACCTCAAAAGCACTAGAAACACGACAAGCCCGTTTTGAAACCTTACAAGCCTCGAATCCCAAACCTTACATGCCACATGTCAGAATCCCGGCTGAACCCAGAGTCCTGCGCAGTATGCGATTTTGCGTATGCAGGGTTCAGGGTTTAGGTATCAGCATCTGTTGCAGGCACTTTGCGTTTCTGGAAGTTCGCTGCCCCAACTTGACCAGGAAGGCAGAGAGAGTCGCGCGTGACTCTCAGGAGCTCGGTTGCTTGTGCTGTGCTTGGCTGCGCAGTTCTGATTTTGCGTCAGCTCGGATATCCTTCGGGTAGTAGTGCAAATGTGCAATTCCATGCACTCGCCTGCATCGTATCAGGAGGAGCAGCTAGACAAGCGTGCCAAGCTCGACGATGATGAAAGCACCGAGTTTGTGATCGCCATGCCTGATGCCAAGGCTGCGACGCTGCACCATCTTCTTCTCTTTCTCTACACAGACGTCATGCCGAACTTCAATGAGGACAGCGTTGTTGAAGTGATTGAGCTGATGGAGGTGGCGCAAGGCCTCTTCCTTCCGCAGCTGGGCATTCCGAACCACCCGGTGTGTTCCATGCGACGGTTGTATGCCATGTGCGAGGATCACCTGCATGGCGCCCTGAGCCCGCTCAACGCGGGTGAGATTCTGCGCGGGGCTATGAAGGTTGGCGCGAAGACGCTCGAGAAGGGCGTCTATGTGCGCCTGGCAGAGATGCAGCCAGCGAAAGAGATGGACTTCAACAGGCGCTTGATCCGAGCTTTGGGGAGCGACCCTGAGCTCCTGGCGCGCGCAATCTCAGCGGCGGCCGGCAGCAACGAAGCGCTGGCTGGTGAGCTCCCGCCGGACTTTGGTGGCGAGGACATGCCGATGCCTCAATTGCTTAGTGACCTTCGGCTCCTCTTGCAGACCACCAGAGAAGTTGATGGCAAGGCAGCTGATATTAGCAGTCGAGTTGACTGCCGTCTGATTGCGGCTGGTCAGTCAGAACTCGGCGCACACCGTTTCATGCTCGCAGCACGCTCCGAGTACTACTCCGCAATGCTGTCGGCTCCAATGGAGGAAGCTGGCAACCGGCAAATCCGGGTTGCGCTCGAGCCAGGGCCCAGCGTGAACAGCCTGAAGGCCTTGCTCAGCTATCTTTACACAGGGGAGGTTGAGGAAAGCATCACGCCCATGAATGGCTTCGACTGGCTCGACGTGCTGGCCATGTTGGATGGCCATGGAGGGGAAAATTATCTTCTCCTTTCTGACGATGCGAGCAGCACCCTACGACACAGAGCATCTGACGGCCTAAGCTCCAGCATTAGAAGGCTCTCAGATGCTGATTGTTGGATGTTGCTTCGGAAAGCGGTTGTCCGCCAGAATACAGTGGCCCAGCGCTCAGCGATAAGACGTGTCGTGAAGACTTGCGCGGCTAATGTTTTCCTGGATGCTGCGAGCTTTGATCGATGGCGGCAGATGCCGGACGCCGATTGGTGGACGGCGGAAATGGAAATTGACTTGCTTCGGCAGGTTCTGAAGTTGAAGATGTCTTGTGAGAAGACATCTGGAAAGTCGTACGATCAGTGGGACCTGGTGGTGAAGAATCCTTGGCGGCCAGACGGGCAGTATGGCAGCCGGACTTCTGCCGGCAATTGCAACCTTGTCTTGGACGAGAGCCCTAATATGGTCTGCGGCTGCTGGCATGAAGACCTGGGCTCCATCGAGGCACGTTTCGCCCAACCTGTGTATGTGGACCACATCCTCGTGGCTCCCCTTCAAGGTTGGGAGAAATCTTGCCTGAAAGAAGCCGAGCTTCAGGTGATGTCGGATGATGGGCGGTGGGAAACGCTGTGCGCTTCTCTGAGTGGCGAGCGGGAAGCCATCCCGGTGTTCACCGCAGCAGCACAGTGGCGACTTCATGGCAAGCACGTTGCTGCGTCCCTGTTCAAGTTCATGGCATGATAGGCGGGATGGTCCCGGCTCGCGACCAGTTTTGTGATAGAAGATTGCCTTGTAGGCAGGCGCGCCTTCGCATGTGAACGGTGTCCTACGCATCTGGAACAGACTGCCAACCTTGGAGACGTGGTTGGAAAACGGGGCGCGAAACTGCCGCAAGCCGCAAGCCGTAGAGCCAGAAACGGGATTGAACCCTTGGTGAGCCCCTTATGAACCCTTCTGTAAGCCCTAAGCCCTAAGCCCTAAACTCCAAACCCTAAACCCTAGCCCTACACCCTG